CGCAGTCCCGTTATAAATCGCTGATCACCACCATTAATAGTAAAAATTAAAAAAAAAAAAAATCCCAGTATATATACCGCCATTTGTAAACGCTATAACTTTCACATAAACCAATTAATTTACAGGTATTGGGATTTTATTTTTCAGCAATGACAGAGCAGAATAAATTTTGGTGTAAATTTATGACGAGATTTGTTTTTTATTTTTTTTTTTTGCTGGACATGTTTAATAGCAAAAGTCAAAAATATTTTTTTTTTTCAAAATTGTCAGGTTTTTTTTTTTATAGCGCAAAAAATTAAAACTGCACAGGCAATCAAATACCACCGAAAGAAAGCTCAAGTCATGGGGAAAAAAAAAGGACGTGAATTTCATCTGGGTGCAGTGTTGCATGACCGCGCAATTGTCAGTTAAATTAACGCAGTGTTGTAACGCAAAAAATGGCCTGGTCAGGAAGGGGGGGGAATCCTCAGGAGGGCAAAGGGTTAAGGAAATTTAGCCTTTCCATTTGTCCTTTTTACCATTATAAGTGAAAGTAAAAGAAAATCCCAAATTTTGAGTTGTCCCCAGAAAAGTAGTAGGGGGGAACTCTTCGAATGGGGACTCTATTTCTGGTGACCTGGGGGGGCAGCCATCCCAAGGAATTACCTTCATTTGCAGGGATTTCCTCTCACTTTTTGGCTATGGGACAGGAAGTATAACCCTCCCTTACTCTATTCAAAATGGAAAAAAAAACAACTTTTGCTTATAGTTGTACCGTATTTGCCGGCGTATAAGACGACTGGGCGTATAAGACGACCCCCCTACTTTTCCTGCTAAAATGTAGTGTTTGGGCTATACTCGCCGTATAAGACTACCCCCTCTTCCAATGCACACCAGTGGGAGGAATAGTGCCCCCATCATTGGTGTCAGTGGGAAGAATAGTGCCCCATCATTGGTGTCAGTGGGAGGAATAGTACCCATCATTGGTATCAGTGGGAGGAATAGTACCCATCATTGGTATCAGTGGGAGGAATAGTGTCCCATCATTGGTATTAGTGGCAGGAATAGTGCCCCATCATTGGCATTAGTGGCAGGAATAGTGCCCCATCATTGGCATTAGTGGCAGGAATAGTGCCCCATCATTGGTATCAGTGGAGGAATAGTGCTCCATCATTGGTGTCAGTGGGAGGAATAGTGCCCCATCATTGGTGTCAGTGGCAGGAATAGTGCCCCATCATTGGTATCAGTGGCAGGAATAGTGCCCCATCATTGGTATCAGTGGCAGGAAAATAGTGCCCCATCATTGGTATCAGTGGCAGGAATAGTGCCCCATCATTGGTGTCAGTGGGAGGAATAGTGCCCCATCATTGGTGTCAGTGGGAGGAATAGTGCCATCATTGGTGTCAGTGGGGAGGAAGTGGGAGGAATGTGTCCCATCATTGTCCCATCATTGGTGTCAGTGAGGGGTGGAATAGTGCCCCATCATTGGTGTCAGTGGGGGGGGGAATAGTGCCCCCTCGCCGGTGATTGGCCGCCTGTGTGCCTTTCCTGAGCTACAGTTCTGGCGGCCAATCACCGGTGAGGAGGTGGAGTAAAAGCAGCCGCACGAACATCCAGTGGTCCGAACTGAAGGAGACGCCGCTCTTCCTGGGGACCGGATCGTCGTGGGACTGGATCCAGGTAAGAGACATCAGCCCCCCTGCAAACCCCTGTACTTAATGCCGCAGCCCCCCTAACATGTGTACCGGCGTATAAGACGACCCCCGACTTTTGAGAAGATTTTCAAGGGTCAAAAAGTCGTCTTATACGCCGGCAAATACGGTACTTTTAATGCGTGTTGCAATGCACTGTATATTCAGTGTTCTAGTGTGTTTGTGTGTCACGATACACAATACATTGCATCATTGTGCATCTTAAGGCATGCAAGGCCATCTATTTTGATGCATTTCCACTAGAGAACACATCAAGCAAAAAGACAAATCCAGCCATACAGAATTCCAGCCTAAACCTAACTGTTCTTAAAAATGTGCCCTCCATAACACCTATGGTGACTATCCTGTGTAAAAAAAAAAAAAAATATATATATAAAAACTATTTTTAGCTCACTCTGGTGATCTCCTGTGTCAGCCAGTACCAGCTGCAGGGGGAGAGTGATCATTATAGAAGAACTTCGGGCAAAATGTTTATTTTCCCATTCATTGGGACTGTACCTGCACTGCATGGGTTATCTACTCATTTTGTCCAAGTAAAAGCTATGCTTACCGTATCCTTTGGAAATCGGTGTCCCCCCCCCCCCCCCCCCACATCCAGCAGTGGATTGTTCCTACCGTTCTCACGTCCACAGCTGGTCAATGGGCCTAATAGCTTCAGGCTGCCAGACGCAGCCCTTTGCTTGCCTTTATCCGGCCCTTGAGGTATTATTCCTTCCACTGACACTAACAGTGCAGCATAATTCCTGCCACTGACAACAAAAATGGGGCACTATTCCTCCAACTGACATCAACTATTTCTCCGCTAATACCAAAGATTTGGCTTGGTTTACTCCCACTGGGCACAGTTTGGCCCTCCTAATGTCTGAAGGACAGTAAACTGTCCCTTTCTTTAAGAAGTTTGGAGACCCCTGCCCTAGACAGAAGTGAGCTGTTAACACATGCAGTGCAGGCACAGCTCCACTGCATGGAAAATAAAAATTAACCCAGTTTTTTTTTTTTTTTTTTTTCCCCAATACAGAAGCTGTCTAGGAGCAGTGCATCTCTCCTGGCATTTTAGTGCATCTGGAAGGGGCAGGTGTAGCACAAGCCCCACTACAAGCAGCCTTTAACCACTTGCTGACTGCAGATAGCCGAACGACGGCTACACTGCAGCCGGCCAGTTCTGGGAGGACGTCATATGACTTCTTCCCAGAACGCACCCCCCCGGCGATCCCCGTGATCACTGTGTCCTATGGACACAGCTGATCACGTGATGTGGTAAAAGGCCAATCACAGCGGCCTTTTACCACGTGATCAGCCGTGTCCAATGACACAGCAGATCAGCGGTAAATACAGTTGCCGGTTATCGGATCCACTTTCCTCTCGCTCTCACAGCGAGGAAAGTAAATGTCAGAGGATGGATCAGCACTGATGATCAGTGCCCTGATGATTGGTGCCCAGCAGTTCCACCCATCAGTGCTGCCCCGCAGTGTCATCAGTCAGTGTTGCATTTCAGTGCCGCCTATCAGTGCCCATCATTGTTGCATATCAGTGCTGCCTATCAGTGCAGCCTCATCAACGCACATCAGTGACGGAGAAAAATGACCTGTTTGCAAATGTTTATAAACAAATTTAAAAAAAATGTTTTGTTCAAAATTTTTGCTCTTTTTTTGTTTATAGTGCAAAAAATAAAACACCCAGCGGTCAGTACATACCACCAAAAGAAAGCTCTCTTTGTGTGAAAAAAGTGATAAAAATGTTATATGGGTACAGTGTTGCATGACCACGTAATTGTCAAAGTGCGAAAGCTGAAAGCTGAAAATTGGCCTGGGCAGAAAGGGGGTATAAGTGCCCGGTAGGCGAGTGGTTAAGTCTGTGGCAGGCTTCAAGTGAACGCTGTACCAGCTACCAGTGCTATCAGCATTTAGGGCCCTTTGTGTTCAGGGATGAAAATCTGGGATGCAACTCTTCTGCGTTTCAAACCGTCATCCCTGAACACAAAGGGCCCTAAATGCCCATACCATTGGGGACAATATTCAGCCGTAGGCTGCCATAGACATCACAGGTGCAAACTCCAAGGCTAATCATCATTTATACTTGATTACAGAGTATCGCTCACCCAGGGGCATATTGTGCGTGTCCGGTGTGCAGACACTTCACTGGCTGCAGGCTTGTTCCATTTCTTTCAGTTGCATAGCTTCCGTTAAATCACCATGTAATTATGTTGTTTATTAAAACTTGTATCCTTTAAAAGTGACCATTAAACCAATTTTTATTTTTTTATTTATTTTGCAGACCTTCAGATAATCTGGCTCCCCGTATACTGAAAGAGAGAGAATTGTAATTTAATTGCGTCATTCACTCAGGGAGTCGCTATGGTGTTCTACTTTACTAGCAATGGTAATGTCAACTTTCAAATAGAATATATTTACGGTCAGAGATGTGCAAATAATAGCGCCCGATGCCCGTGACAAGTAGTTTCAGGCGCCAGGGAGGTGGCTTTTTGCTACATTTAACCCTGCTGCAGGCGCTTGCTGCTTATCAGGGATTGCTTTTTACTGGGTTCATAGTCAGCCTGTCACAGTCCACTCAGCCCTGGCACAGAGTACAGCCAGCTGCACGCGCTTTCACACCACCCTACTGCATGCTCTCGGGCTTCTTTCTCTGTCCTTATGGAGGGGGCGCACCTCGTGCTCGTGCCCACGGAAGAAACACAAGGAGGGGGGGAGCGGAGTATCGAACGTGTGTAGGAGAAAGTGAACCGGACCAGAGGACAGATCATCGGCACAGCTCCAGCTACGGGATTTAGAGGGATAGGATGCCTGATCATCTCAGTAAGGGAAAAAAGGAGGGGTCTAAAGTGTAACGGTGAGAGGTTGGAGGACCAGTGCTCAGCGTTCCATCCTTTCCTTGCATGCGGTGCCTGGAGCTTGTGCCACAGTTCTCTCCACAGTCTGCAGTCCACTCATCAGCCAAGCTTGGCATGGGTACCCCATCTTTCCTGTCATCCCTTCCTGTCTGTGCCAGGTCATGTCAGAGGGGCAGATGTTCCTGACTGGCTGTGACAGTCCCAGATTTACCATATTTAGTCCCTGCAAATGTCAGCCCTGTCCAGTAGCCCAGGAGACCCTTTCCTTCTGATATATTCTGGGCCTCTTTTAATCTTTTTACCTGGAGAAAAAGTATTTGTCATCTAAATAAAGTCCTTGCAGGGCTCTTTGGGCGCCGGAAGTTGAAAACACGTTGCATCGCTGTATAGAGGTTCATTTGATTTTCCTCGGTGAAGCTTCCGAGCAGAGGGGACCAGGCGACTTCCTAACTGTGTGTAAAATGACTGAACCAGAAGTGAACCCCAAAGCCTACCCATTGGCCGATGCTCAGCTTACAAAGACTCTTCTAGATCTGGTACAGCAGGGTTCCAATTACAAGCAGCTTCGTAAAGGGGCCAATGAAACCACAAAAACACTAAACAGAGGGATTGCAGAGTCCATTGTAATGGCAGCTGATGCAGAACCACTTGAGATCATTCTTCACCTTCCTCTTCTCTATGAGGATATGAATGTCCCCTATGTCTTTGTGCGTTCTAAGCAAGCTTTGGGAAGAGCCTGTGGTGTCTCAAGACCAGTTGTTGCATTTGCAGTTACTATTAAAGAAGGTTCCCAGTTATAGCCCCAAATCCAATGTGTCCAGCAATATATAGAGAGACTACTGGTGTAATATATATATATATATATATATATATATATATATATATTATTTATTTTTTTTTTATTGAAATGACAGTGGGCTCAGTGCAGTATTGTGCATTGTACATTTTTTTTTTTTTAACTAGCCTAAAAATCTAATCTGCTTATGTAGGACTATTACGAATTCCAAAAGAGTATTTAACAGTGACTTCTTTAAAACATCCCTGTATGATCTGTCATGTTTAAGTTTAACATTCAGTTGTGGACATATAGTATTTTGACTTTTGAAAAAAGGAAAATGCTTAAAGAAAAATTTCAGTAAATTTGTCCCCCCCATGCTAAATAAAAAAGTCCTTGCAGAGAAATGTTCCTTGATGCCACATGACAGCTTTGAACATGTTACGCTAAGATGAGCCCAGTGGTACAGTGTCCCTTTAAAATGTTGGCAGCTATGCAGTGCCACCCTGGCAGAAAGTGCAGGGCCCTTTAAAATCCTCTGGGCCAATGCAGGATGTCCGATTTCAACTATACTGGTGACAGAAGTGCTGGATTAAAGTAGTATTAAAGGTTCAGCTTTAAAAAAAAACAAAAACAAAAACTTGCCTGCTCTGTGTAATGGTTTTGAACAGAGCAGTCTCAATCCTCCTTGGGTCCCCTGCTGATGCTCCTGGCTCCTCCTCCTTGACCAGTGCCCCCAATGCAAGCTGCTTGCTATAGGGGCATTGGGGCATGCTCGCTCCTGAGCCCTGCTCTATGTGTCCATAAGATACACACAGAGCTGTGGGTTGGCCTCGCCCTCTTGCTCTCTTCTCATTGGCTCCCTGGCTATGTTTGACAGCAGTGGGATCCAACGGCTCTCACTGCAGTCTCAGCCATCGATGTGAGGGAGCCGCAGGACAGCCGAGGCTCTCATGCATATCGCTGGATTGGGCTCAGGTGAGGGGAAGCTGTGGGGGGAACTGCACACAGAATTTTTTTTAGAATGCATGACGGTGAAAAAACCTTTAGCCTTTACAACCACTTTACATATGTCACATAGCGCTCCTGGCAAGATGATTCCTAAACGCACAGGGGCTGGTTGTTAGGGGTCAACAATCTTGCAGATGGCACTGTATTGTTGTGTCTAGGCATCTCATCTTTGTTTTACTTTATGCAGAGGTTTTTTTTGCTGTTGTGCTTTTTTAATTAATTCTGTTGTTTAGCTTCTGTTGGGTACTGATGTGTATGCAGTAGATTTTCAAGTAAGATCTGTCAGGAGTGGGAAGTTCCGGAGGAACTACTGGGGTGATCTATAAGGCATTACTTTTTTTTTCTCCCTCATTGGTGCCAGTGCCTCACTTACTCGCTCAACAGATGCGCTTCTGCTGAGCGTTAAGAGTGCACAACACTCTGCTTTCCTGATGAGCACCCTGTCTGTACTCATCACATTGCAAGGTCTCTCCTCTCCCTGCCAGTTCCCGGGTGTAGTGCTGGAGACAGGCAGGGAGGTGCAGAGGAGATAACCAGCGCAATGTTAAAAACATTAAAACTTTACATCGCCATAAAGCCCCTTTTCGTTTTGAAAAGCCCCAGACATTTTTTATCAAGACAAGTAAGATTGTCATGCGAGACAAGTAGATCGAGATCTTGATTTAGTCCCTTGGACAAGTAAGTTTAAAAAAAAATTACCACACCCCTGTATTGTACACGTGTTTTTACTGGTAAGGTCATATGTAAATGTAAGATCATCTTTTAAGTGCCATTGAAGTATTACTTCTTGTCATCCACCTTACCATTTACCTTAAAGTAATTGTAAATGCTCCACCACCACCAATGGCTCCTACTGTTGTCTCTGAGCCAATGAGGGGGGAGAGATCGGGGCGAGCACCTGTACTCTTGTGCACGTCGCCTAAATGAGATCGGACTCAGGTAAGTATAAAAGGAGGCTTGGGGGGGGAGGTGCATACAGAAGGTTTTTTACCTTAAAGTGATATTAGCCACTTGGCCTCCTGAGGATTTACCCCCATAATTACCAGGCCATTTTTTGCATTACGGCACTGCATTACTTTAACGGACAATTGCGCGGTCATGCAACGCTGCACCCAAATTTCCCACAAATTGAGCTTTCTTTCGGTGGTATTTGATCACCTGTGTGGTTTTAATTTTTTGCGCTATAAGCAAAAAAAGACCAACAATTTTGAGAGAGAAACAATATTTTGGACTTTTTGCTATTAAACATGTCCAGTAAAAAAAATAACATTTCGTCATACTAATACACTCCCATGGCTTCAACTATCACCTTGTTAAATCTAAATTATGATTCGGCACTTATATTGATGGCAAGCTTGCAAAATATTTGGTTTTTATGATTAGTCATAATTAATATTAATATGTGTAAGTGGTCTTTGACAAATGGTAGTATTTACTATTCTTCAATTATAGCTGAGACCAAAAGATATACAAGTTAAGCTGAAATAGTATATACCAGTTGAAAGTTGAGTAGACTATATTTAGAGATAGTTGGTTAAAAGTATTTGGTAGTTATGTCAAGGTTATTAGAAGTGACTTACTATTACAGTATGTATTTTAATAGTATTTGTTTGTATTTAGTATACGTTTCTAACATTGATACATATATACATTGATATGTTCTTAAGCTATACTATACTTTAAATATAGCTGAGGGTTACGTCATTAGCTTATAATATTTTTACATCAGCATACATATGTTCCTGTCCATCAAACATCATATGTATAGTATCCCCTCCCTTTTATGAAATGGCTTTGCTAAGCAGTAATAATTTCCATAGAAGGTATTAAGATCACTAACTATGACGTACATTTGCCTCTTAAAAGACCATGAGACTTCGGACAAGAGACACTCACTCACACACACACTTACAAGCTACATGACTCTTGCATACACACGTCTGAGAAGCTGCAACAGGTGCATACTGAGATCACTTCCGGCTACAATATAGTCACGTCCGGCTTCTCCTTCTTCACAAAGTCATTGAGAAGGACAGCATGCAGTATCGCACATGGCAAGGACAGAACAGCCATGACAGATAATGGTGACTTTGTTTTAAACGTTTGCTTGTCATTTTTACAATAGTTTTATCTACATGGAACTGTTCATAATACGCTTTACATTGTTATTCGACACCATTGTGTGATAGAATAAAATCACACTTCATTTTTTTATTTCAATGGCTCTTTCATTCATAATCGCCTCAAGACACTAGAAGAAGTATGATATGTGTCTAAAAATCCAACACACCTCTACACCGATGACACGCAAATTTACCTCTCCATCCCTCATCTCACCTCTTCAGTCTCCGCCCGTATCACCCACCTACTGAACAACATATCGGACTGGATGTCGCTCCACTTCCTCAAACTGAACCTTTCCAAAACCAAGCTCCTAATTTTCCCCCCTGCCCGCACCCCCCCCCCCCCCCCCCACCCTCTCCATGACCAACAACGCTACCATCAATCCCACCACGCAAGCCAAGGTCCTAGGTGTCATCCTAGACTCTAACCTGTCCTTCCAACCCCATGCCCAATCGCTGACTACTGCATGCAGGTTCCACCTCCGCAACATCTCCAAAATATGTTCGTTCCTAACCCCAGACACTACTAAACAACTCGTTCACTCCCTTATTATCTCACGCCTGGATTACTGCAACTCCCTTCTCACCGGCCTACCCCAAAACAAGCTATCCCCGTTCCAGTCCATCCTGAACTCAGTGGCCAGACTCATCCACCTTACCAACCGCTCCAATTCTGCCACCCCCCTCTTTCATTCCCTCCACTGGCTCCCAATTGCCCAACGGATCAAATTCAAACTACTAACACTGACATAGAAAGCCATTCATAACGCTGCCCCAAACTACCTCACCGACCTGATACCCAAATACCACCCTACCCGTAATCTTCGCTCCTTGCAAGACCTCCTACTCTCTAGCTCCCTGGTCTCCACCTCCCATGCCCGACTGAAGGACTTCTCCAGATCTTTCCCCATCCTCTGGAACTCACTTCCCCAATCCATCAGATTGTCCCCTACCCTCCTCACCTTTAGGCTCACCCTGAAAACCCATCTCTTTAGGGAAGCCTACCCCACCCTCACCTAACAGCCAATCCCCTCCACTCCTCACTCCATTCCATCCCCCGCAGCCATCTCCCCCTGTATCACCATCCCCTCTCTCCTAGACTGTAAACTTTAAAGGGCAGGGCCCTCGAACCCCTCGTGTATCGTGTATTGTTTTGCTACTGTATTGTCTTATGTCTTGTCCCCCATTCTAATGTACAGCGCCGAGCAAACCCTTTGGCGCTATATAAAGACTCTGTTATAATAATAATAATAAATTTAGGCCACCATGTATTCTGCTACATGTCTTTGCTAAAAAAAAAAAACCAAAAAATCCCAATACGTGTAAATTAATTGGTTTATGTGAAAGTTATAGCGTTTACAAATGGCGGTATAGATACTGGGATTTATTTATTTTTCTACTAGTAATGGCGGCAATCAGTGACTTTTAGCGGGACTGCGATGGACATTCTGACACTGGGCGGAACTGCCTGACACGCCAGTGACACCAATACAGTGATCAGTGCTAGAAAACAAGCACTGACACTGTACAGGAAGTCACTGGGCAGGAAGGGGTTAATGTGAGGGGTGATCAAAGGGTTAACTGTGTGCTGGGAGTGTTTTACTAGGGGGCACTGTAAACACACTGATCAGGATGGCTGTCCTATGGACAGCTATCCCAAGCAGTGTGCTCGAGTTGACAGGGAGGAAGATTGTTTGTAAACAAAACAATCTTCCTCCCCATCGGAGATGCTCAGTAATCACCGTGCGCCGGCATGTAATTACCGGCCGGGACCCGGTAGTTGACATTCACGGCCAAGAATGGTGGCGCGGGTAGGGCGCGTGTGTGTCCCCCTACCCAGTAAAGGAAGAATGATGTGTGTGTATATATATATATATATATATGTCATCCTGCGCACAGGTGCCGCCCTGTAGCAGTATATCAGCTATAGGGTGGTCCTTAAGTGGTTAAAGGTAAAACAAATAAAAAACATGTTATACTTACCTGCTTTATGCAGTGGTTTTGCACAGATTGGCCCTGAACCTCCTTTTCTTGGGTCCCCCACTGGCACTGCTGGCCTCTCCCTCCTGCCAAGTGCCCCCAGAGCAAGCAGCTTGCAATAGGGGCACCCTAGTCGCTGTCATTGCGGACAATAGGGTGCGACTTGGCATACGATTTGCACCCAGTGTGACCACGGTGTTAGTAAATAAACCCCAATGGCTCGAGAGGAGGGATTCCCCTGTAAACACTGTCTGTGTTGATAGGGGAGTAGAGAAAGGAATTTGCACTGTCTATAGCCAGCCTTAGGAACCAGAGTACCTGGAGGAAACCCACACAAGCACAGGGAGAACATGCAGACTCCATGCAGATAGTGTTTTGGCTAGGATTTGAGCTAAGGACCCCAGTGCTGCAAGGCAGAAGTGCTAACCACTAAGCCACAGTTCAGTGAAATGATAGTTGTGCTGGGAAGAATGTTACAGTAATAATTCTTGTTCTGAGCCCTGCTGACAGCATTTCCTTTATGTCTTCCACAGTTGTGTCTCCTCCGTACACGATATATATGGGAAAGGACAAATATGAAAGTAAGTTGTCGCTATTGGTAATAGACAGCATTGTACATTTTTTTTTGTACAAATAGATCTTTAACAGTTGTAAATCTGCAACATTGTGTGGCAAACATTTAAGTAGAAATGTACTTATAAAGTTGAATTATGTGAGGATCTGTTTCCCTACTGAAGGATGTGTAATTCTCATTAGCCAGTCTTGTGATTCACACATCTTTCTCTCTACACAGCCAGGAAGATGGCACCGCTGTTTGATATTTGATCTTTAGAATTGTCTTTGTTACCTGGCTGCTTATTGGACTGTGAATGTGCAGTGTGGTGATGCTGAGTTATTGTTCAGAGAACAAGTATGAAGCAAAGTCGTTCTGTTGCTGCAACATATAATTGTAGTGTCACCTGCCTGGCTTTGTAGTGTGATAGAGACATGTAGAACCCCTGTCAGTTTTTATAGTGTCCACACAGGAGATTTACCCACTTAATTTGTCCTATTGGCCACTGGCAGACTGAAATGTAAGGGAAATCCTACAGTTGTCACCGGACAGGAATAGAGAGGACATTTTCTAATGGGGACACTTGTTTCAGTGCCATCTGTCTACTAGGGGATTTCCCTTCACATTGGAGAGATTTTCTCACTTAACCCCTTCCCACCATCAGTATGCAGCTGTGGCCTTTATCCATGGGGCCGCATATCTGCATATCTCTCTTTGTGCTGGAAGCGCACAGAGACTGGGCTCTCACCAGGAGTTCTGAGTCTTGTATTAACGATTGAGACCCTGGACTCCCAGTTCCAGGTCACCTGATTGCTGTGATAGCCTCAGATTGGCTTTCACAATAATCAGTCACTGTGCAACCCACCCCTGTGTTTTCTTTCTCTTCTGAATGGAGAGAATGATACATTGTATCTTTGCAGGGAGAAAGATGTAAATAAAAGTGTATAAAAAAAGAAAAAAAAGTAGATCAAGATTTGATCATGGTTAATTGTAAGGTCAAAGTAAGGGTCAAATGTCAGGATCAGTATATTTTAGGTAGGATTTAAAAAACAAACAAATAAAACATTTTTTTATATATTAATGTCAGTATGTTTTAGGTAGAATAAAAAGGCAAAATGCACACTGTTGTTTCTGGGCCCTACTACAGGTACATATAACAACTAACATACACATATGTGGTATTGCTGCAATCCTCAGGAGCAGGAGAATTTATTTTGGCTCATTCTTTGGTGGTAAGTTATGGTAATAGCAAGCAATATACAGCTATAAATATTAAAAAAACAGCAAGAGGCAAGAGGAGTCTGATGGTGGTTGGAGCTGGAGGATAATTCTCTTGTGGTGGAAGTTGGAGGTCTGAATATAAAAGGTCTAGGATCCCTAAAAATTACCTAAAATGCGTTTATCTCACCAGAATCTGGTGAGTGCAGTATATATTTCTGTTTTGAGCACTTTTCTGGGTGGAAGTACATCTTTCTGGAGGAAGGACCTTTTTCTACTATCATATCGTGCACTTGTGATCAATGATTTTTTTCACAAAAGGAATTTTTTTCATTTATGTTGGAATGGGACTATGATTATACATATTTTTCTGTATGGTTATTAGGCATAATTTAAATTATTTGCACTGTTTTTTTTATATTTATTTTATTTTTTGGTGTTAAGACACTTGGGTACAGCAGCATTTAATTTATTTATTTATATATATATATATATATATATATATATATATATATATATATATATTCTTACTTTTTTACATATTTTCTTGGTGCTGGTGATTTGTGGTTATAACATACAGCTATGTATTAAAAATTATAATTTTTTTTTTATTATTATTTTTAGCCAGGAGATAGCCATTACCATTTACCACCGAAAGAAAGCCCAATTTTTCCTGGTAAAAACAAGGTAGAATTAACCTGGATATAGTAAGCAGTTGTGGTCAGGACTTTTTTTTCAGCAGGAACATAGGGTAACACAGTTCCAGCACTGAATGTATGTAATGGCAAGGGGTGCCTGATTGTGCTGCAGAGTCTATTGATGCTGGCTGCAGGGGGATCTATTGTTCCAGGAGGGAATCTATTTTTGGGGGGGTGTCTTGCTGCTGGGGAGGTTTATTGTTGGGGATCTCTTGTTGCTGGGGTGTGTGTTTTATATTTGCTTGGGGTCATTTGTTCCTGGGAGGGATCTACTGTTGAGGGAGGTGTCTATTGTTGCTCGCTGCTGAAGGGTCTGTGGGTAGATCTGTTGTTGGTGTCGGGAGGGGGAGATCTGTTGTTGGTGATTGGGTATTTTGTTGCAGATGGTCCATTTTTGCTGAGGTTACTGGGGGAAGGGGGGGTCTATTGTTGCAAGGAAATTTACTTGGCACCACAAACTCATACTTGCTTATGTATTCTTTCAAAGGGACTGTACTGGGAGGTGGATAGGGAGTGGAACCAAGAAATGGTACTCAGAGGTGGCTAGAGGCAGAGATAAGGGAGTGACTCAGAAATGGGCAGTTCCTGCACCTTTTCCCTGAGAAAAAAAGCCCTGGTTGTGATGAAATACAATAAAAAAGAGAAATCTCCCCCTAGGGTTGGGATTTTGTAGGCAATATGAGAACAATATATTAAAATAAGAATAACTTTTATTACATGATATTTAAAAGATAACACACAGTATTTTCCACATGCCAATCAAGTATTACAAAAGCTGAAGTGCAGCATATATCTTACAAGCAGAGAATAAAAATTAGTGCCCAACGCACAGCTCCTTCTTCAGGGGTAACTGCTTATAATGCAATAAGATCTGTAGCAAAATTAAGAATATACATATTATATTAAAAATATACACAAAACCAAACAAACAAAAAAACACCTTTCTCACATAATATCAATACTGCTGAAATATTGTGATACAGCACAAACGGGGTGACAAATGATTATTGGGACCAGTGTGGCCATGCATCACCATATCCAAATACCCCTCCTAGGATGGAACAGGGGGAGAGGGTGCAATATCCCCCAGAGACCCCGGAAATCACCGCAGGCAGACACTGGGATTACCTGAGGGCCAGTAAAGGGATAAAACAAAAATCAGAAAAATGATTTGTATATTTTATAATATCTGGAAGTATGTCCAAAACATCCACCTACCTGAAAGGTATAAGGGAGGAAGGGGGAGAGAAAAAAAGAAACAGGTGAGGGACCTCATCCAGATGGCAGAAAATGAGAGGTTTGTGCATTCCGCAATTGAATGGATCTTTCTGACTGTGTTATCTCCCACATTAGGGTCTGTAAATAATTATAATTTGATAGGAAAATAAACATCCTGAAAGTATTCATAATCCAATAAATTAACACCATATTTAGAATATTAGTTCCCCCCAGTTGATGCATTTAATAATAAAGAGCCACTAGGGCATCCGTGTAAGGGTAAAAGTATTAAATAGAAATAATCCAAAAATCCCCCAAAGTAGAAAGAAAAGGATTTTTAACTATCTAATGTTCCCATTTACCTCAATAACATAATTGTCAAGATAAGGGAGGCGGAAGAAGTTCACCGATCATGAAAGAAAGACTGATTGAGGAGTCCAGATTATATATAGGGATATAGAGGATCAATACCTCACACTTGTGACTCATTAGGTACAGTAAATAAGGTAAATAATTGGATGTGTCCCAAAGCTGGCAAAAGAACCTACGAGCCCCTGGGTGAGCACGGCATGCAGGCGCCACCCCCCCCCCTCCCCCACATATGTGACATGATGGCGTCACGCGTCAGACGCCCCACTGACATGTGCAGATCCAACACGAGGAGACACATGAGGCACACCACCAAAGCAGCCAATAAGATGCCTGGTTAGTCCTCAGAGCCCCTCCTCGATTGGGCCAAAAAGGGGAAGATTGTGATGAAAATATACAGTTTTACTAACATGTGAAAGTTGCTAAATTGTGTTCAGGCATTAGGATTTGTTTTACCCTCTGTCATTAAGGGGTTAATTTGTTTCCATGACAAATTGTGAAGGGAAATCTCCTCAACAGGACACAGACATAAAAATCACAAACTCGTAGATGCAATACGCTTTTTCATATGTAGTCTGCCAGTGATATTTTCCCTTGTTGGATTGTACAGGGGCTCTTGCCATCTGTGACTACTCATGAAAATTCTATGTGACTGTTGCTTGTAGACATGTCTCAATTAATTTTTTTTCTTTCTCTTAAAGATGAAGATCTTATAAAGTATGGCTGGCCAGAAGATATATGGTATGTAGAGGAGAGTTTACTGCTATACATATATTTTAGATGAATTGATGTTGGGGTTCCCCAAGTAGTTAGTCAGCACAGTTGTGTGACTCGACCTGCAACTCTGATAATTTTCCCAATGAATTTCAAATTTCATTGCATCTAGTTTGCAGCAGTTAGGATTCCTGACCTGCACAATTCTTCATAGACCACGGTACTCAGAACTCTTGTATTCAGATGAGTTTTAATTTATCTAGGAAAACGTTAGATTTGCAGACTGAGAAAGCTGAGTGGTGGGTTCCAGGTTTATTATGGAGCTCACTGAAACAGGTTTTCAAGGCACCAACTTGAACACATCTAATGTAAAGGATTTATTTCAACTTATACCAGCGCAAAACCCACAAAACAATAAAATACATCACCCAACCCATAAATAATAATTACTAAATATCACAAACTTTAAATACACTGTGACACAAAAATATTAATTAAAATATTAATGAAAAAAAAAATATAATTTAAAAAATAATAAGTCCAGTGACAAAATCCAAAAAAACTGTCCCGTGAAAAAATTATATTTTCACTGGATTCTTCCGTGCCAGTGATACCTCCACCATCCACCAGTGCAAAACCAACATTAACCGCACTCACCAGATATTGGTGAGTAAAACGCCTTTCAGGGATATTAAGGGCTCCTGGACCCCCTTTAATTTGTATATGACCTCCAAATATTGCCTCCTCTAGGATATGGACACCTCCTCTGGTTACTCCTCTCACCGAATCCCCCAGAGAAAATCTGGAAGAAGAAAAAACCATAGTGTGATACCGTAATGATTTCAAATCTTAAAAGAATTTTTTCCAGACCACTCACATTTTAGCAGATATTAACCCGCATTTTATTGAAGCAAAACGATCTTTCTTTCATAAAAAACGATTTCTGTATAGAGACCCCACAGCCAGGTATACAGCAGGATAAAATGTGAGTGGTCTGGAAAAAAATATTTTAAGATTGGAAATCATTACGGTATCACACTGTTTTTTTCTTCTTCCGGATTTTCTCTGGGGGATTCGGTGAGAGGAGTAACCAGAGGAGGTGTCCATATCCTAGAGGAGGCAATATTTGGAGGTCATATACAAATTAAAGGGGGTCCAGGAGCCCTTAATATCCCTGAAAGGCGTTTTACTCACCAATACCTGGTGAGTGCGGTTAATGTTGGTTTTGCACTGGTGGATGGTGGAGGTATCACTGCCACGGAAGAATCCAATGAAAATATAATTTTTTCACAGGACTGTTTTTTTGGATTTTGTCACTGGACTTATTATTTTTTAAATTATATATATTTTTTATTTCATTAATATTTTAATTAATATTTTTGTGTCACAGTGTATTTTAAGTTTGTGATATTTAGTAATTATTATTTATGGGTTGGGTGATGTATTTTATTGTTTTGTGGGTTTTGCGCTGGTATAAGTTGAAATAAGTTTTTTTTGTTTTGCACCTGTGTACAGCAGCATCTCACGGGGAATAATGTGTGGAATAAGAGAATCCTGGGCGCTGAGGTTTTTTCTTTCTTTACTAATGTAAAGGATGTCTAAACCCAAGATCAGAAATATAATATAGTACAACTTACCAGTGGTGGCTGCATTTCCTTTATATTTTTTTTTAGGCTAAGGACATTTTCAGTAAATACCTGTTGATCCTAACAGGAATGCTGTGTCATTGTCACCTCCTATGAGATGAGCTGAGTGTTATTTTCTTTCTGTAAATTACTAGTCTCCCTATCTTCCTTGTAATGGAGATTGAGAGGAAGGATGACATGTTTGAGGCCCAGCCAAGATGTCAACTGTGACTTTCTCCATGGACATAGTGGAGTGAGAGAGCGTGGTCACCCAGGGACAGTAAGTGTGTTATCTGCAGGGTCTAGGTTAAAATAAATTAAAAAACAAGCAGCCCAGGTACAGTGAGTGAAGTGCAGCTCAATGCCTGAATATGAGAACTCTCAATAACAAAAATTGTCCATGGAGTTTGAGAGAGACTACTCTTTTCGAACAACACAAAATCAAAGAAAATTTTTCTCTAAAGCAAAACCAAATTTTTATTCACATACAAATATGATTAAAAGCATAACAAAATGCCAACGGGCACATCACAATATGATGGTTAGTTGCATGATAGTGTATACACAAAACAAGGTAGACAAATGATATCCTGACACGCTTCACATTTCGTAAAGCAGTGTTCACTTCCTCACGAGACAGTGATGTTACATAGGATAGGAAACCAAATACAGTCTGTATACATTAAAGTCAGACATCCTTTTTCTGCCAAAAAACCATTGGAATGCAACGGGGAAGACTGCATGGGATTGGCTCAGTCCGGGAGCTGTAAAAAGGGCAGAGATCCACAAAACAAGGACAACACTGAAGGAAAATTGGGCCAAGTTGTCAAACATGTAATAGATGGCTGCAATAGACATAGAATTTGGTAGTCTAACCCCAAAGGTCCAAAGTGTTCACAGCCATTGCTCAGTAAGAGAAGTTGAGAAAGCCCACCACTCTAGGCATGTATACTAAAGTATAACTAAAGGCAAAACTTTTTTTTTTTTACGTTTTGGATATAGTGGAGATGGATTAGAACCCCTGACAGTTTTTTTATTGCTGTCTTTGCCCCTGTTAAGGAGATTCACCCTCTCTTGTTTGTCCTGTTTACCATTCATATCATTGAAAGTAAAGAAAATCCCAAATGTTGGGTTGTCTCCAGATAAGTAATAGAGGGGAAATTTTCCAATGGGAACACTAGTTCTGGTGACCTGGGGATTCCCTAAAAAGGTCCTTAATTTGCAGGGATTTCCTCTCACTTCCTCTTTGGCAATGAGACAAGAAGTGAAGGGACATCTCCGTGTGGTTTTTTTTGTTCTCTACTACACTTTGTATCGAGCTTCCCCAGCTTTGTGTTATAGCTGCACAACCTTTGATTGGTCTTGGATGACCTTCCATATATCCTAGTATATATTGGTCTATCGACCCTCTACTGATCTGGTCCCTGAGCACAGGAGGTGTTGTATCAGTATCTACTTGTTCTGGTGACCTGGGGGTTCCCTAAAAATGTCCCTAATTTGCAGGGATTTCCTCTCACTTCCTGTTTGGCTATGAGACAGGAAGTGAAGGGACATTTCCGAAATCGGACACAGATGGTGAAAAAAAGTAAATCTGATGGGTGAAAACCCTCCACTACTCTATCCAAAATGAAACAAAAAAAAAAGTTTTCTCTGCTCTGATGATGACAGTTCTGCATTCTTCCTCACCGTTCCACGTAATCCAGGGCAATCTTCTCAGTAGATCTTTCTGTTGCAGGTAGCTTTCCCTTTCAGATGTATGAAGGCAAGTGATGATGCAACTCTTGTTCATGTGCAGTGGAGTTCATTATCCTGGCACTGGGCTACATTGCTCAGCATCTTGCAAATGCTGAAAGTGTGCACTGCACATGGGCTATGTTCATTTAGAAAAAATAAAACTAAATGTAAATGTTCGTTTACAAAAATAAAAATGCTAGCAAAAAGGAAAGGGGTTTTTTTTTTTTTGTTTTTTTCGGCAAAAGGGACACTCTCAATTAATAATCTCTTTTTTTCTGACTAAAGTTCTGTTTTAAAATGGTTGTAAAGCATTTTTAAATGATTTTAGTAAGCATGCTATATTTGCCTGCTCTATGCAATGGTTTTGCACAGAGCAGCCCATAACCTCCTCTGTGGGGGCCCCTGCTGGTGCTCTGGGCTCCACCTTTCTTCTGAGTGCCCCCATAGCAAGCTGCTTGCTATGGGGACACTCATGCTGGCTCAATCCTGAACCTGGCTGTATGCATCTATTCAGACACACAGTGCTGCTCAGCCCCACCCACCTCTCTCCACTCACAGGTTTTGACTGATAGTAGCAGGAACCAATGGCTCCTGCTGCTCTCAGCCAAGCCTTTGAGAGAAGGGAGAGGAGCTGCTGCTGATGGGACAGTGCTGGATCAAGATCAGGCTTCGATGAGTTTTTAGGGGGTGCTGGGGAGGGAGACTATTGGAAGGGTTTTTTTTTTTTTTTTACCTTCATGTGAATGAATGAAGGTAAAACCCTTTTGCCCTTACAACCATTTTAAGGTGAATCTATGCTGTGCTCACAAAATGCAAGCAAGAGGACAAAATACTAGTCACCAGCACTGTTTGTGGTCTTCCCATGGTTGCCCTTTTCCCCGTTACTGACCTACCATGCCTTGCTATGCACTTTGTCTCTATTTGGAGGTGGCTTAGTTTTAAATAGCAGGACTTTGCTTCCTCATGTCAGAGCTGCTTCCTTAAGACTCATGGTTTGATAACTGCCAGGCTAATGACAAAGAAGCAGCATGAAAGGTGCAGGAAGCATGGATCCACAGAATAGATGAAGCAGAACATTGAGATACTACAGGTCATCAGGTACAGCTTCCTGTCCAGCAAGGAGACCAGTGAACATCACGGTAGTGGCATCGCCAAACCTCACTCCCGATCTCCTGAGACTAGCAGTCAGCGGCAGCAGTGCCTTAGATGTCATACTGTAGATATACAGCTAAGAGGCTACAGAACAAAAGTATATAGGGACAGGACAAGTGCAAAGTTCTTTTATATCAGATATTCAAAACAAAGGCAAACAGGTTCTGTTTAGGCACAAATACAAATCTAGATGGTACCCAAATAATAGCAAATCTTTATTTTTTTTTTTTAAGCTCAGGGTTAATTTCAGTCAAGAATTTTGTTGTCTGTTGCTGGGCCTGTTCTGTCTTCTATACTGATGACTTTGTTGCCTGTCCTTGCAGGTTTCACGTAGATAAACTCTCTTCTGCACATGTTTACCTTCGACTACAAAAGGTGAGGCTAGCCACATACAATATTATAACTGGCAACACTGCAGCACATTGTCAGCATGCCGCAGCACTGACACAGCCCAAGCAAAGCCTTTCAGGCTGCAAACAAGCTGGCACCTCTTGAACCCCAACTGTAAGAAATGTTTTTATATTTCAGGATCAGACGATAGATGACATTCCTAAAGAAGTTCTGACAGACTGTGCACAGTTAGTAAAAGCTAACAGCATTCAAGGTATGTGCTTGTTATGTAATAATGTGTGGAAACGTATTGCTTAAAAGATAGCTAAACTCAAGAACAAAAATGTAGTACATCACAACTTACTAGTTTTTAGGCTAGGTTCACATCTGTGCGGGTGGTGCCGCTGTGGATCCGCACGAAAATCCATGCAGTAGCACCACCCGCACAGAGAAATGCGGACCCGCGGGCGGGTGCCATTAGTTCTAATGGCACGCCACCCGCACTGGAAAACGCAACCGTACTGGGAACCGAGGTTCCCATGCGGGCTGCGTTTTCAGAAGAAGTGCAGAGACGACTTATCTGCATGTCACGGGGCATGCGAGTCCTTTCAAAGGAATGGGTTCTCGTGCCGGCGCAAAACGCTTCCTGCAAGGCTGCACATATGTGAATCGGGGCTTAGATGTGCCTGCATTAGGTTTCGTTTTTCTGGCTAAGTACATTCTCTGAAAAGTACAGAAAATACCTATTACTGCTGTCAGAAATGCAGTGTCACTGTAAGCTGACCTGGAAGCACAAAACAATGTTGCCTTCCTTCTGTTAACTACTATATCATCACTTCCTATGTAATAGAGTTGAACAAAGCCAGACAGGTTGGTCCAGACTGTGTGTTAACCATGGCTCCCTCCATGGATACAGTAGTAGCCATGATGGGACAGTAAATGTGTTAGAATTACTAGCTGAAAATGGGGGGAAAAAAAGCCTGAAAACAGAAAACTAATGCAGCCACCACATCCAAGGACTACAAACCTGCAATATCATACATTTTTGTTTTTGGGTTTAGATACACTTTAAAGCATAAGGATAAACCAGCACAGCAAGCCATGTACAAGTCAGTATGCTGACCTTCCTGTTCCTTCTCTGTCGCCAGGCTGCAAGATGAACAACATCAATGTTGTGTACACTCCGTGGACTAATTTAAAGAAAACGTCAGACATGGATGTCGGCCAGATCGGCTTTCAACGGCAGAAAGACGTAATTTCTGTTTTGGAAACATAAACATAAAAGTTTAGCAGTGATGGAATTATTTATAAACTGAAGCAAACCTTTTTAGACCTTTTCCTGTTTACAAGGTGGCATATAATCGCTCATTATTGGCAGGGCTTGGTAATAGACTGCTGGCAACTTTACAGAATCCTATTCATCACTGTTACACATACAAAATAAATCATACTAGAACAAAACTAATATTTAATGCTGAACTCCAGGCAAGCCACTAAATAAACAGATGAAACACATGTAGAGGTTGATTTACTAAGTGCAAATAGACTGCACTTTGCAAAGTGCAGTTTGCAAGTGCAGTTGCTCCAGAGCTTAGTAAATGAGCTAAAGCTTCAGTTTGCAAAGAATAGCCAATCACGTGCAAGGAAAATAAAAAAAAGCAGCATTTTTGCTTGCACATGATTGGATGCTAGAAGTCAGCAAAGCTTTTGCTCATTTACTAAGTACTGGAGAAACTGCACGTTGCAAAAAGCACAGTCTATTTGCATGTAGTAAATCAACCCCCTAATGTTTAATCTGTCAAAGGATTTACATTTCGGCCCATCCAGTCTCGGGGTGTATGCAGCTCTGCCACGCAGCACAGCCCTATCTGGTGGGGGAGAAGACTTTTGATTTACAGAAAAAATGTAAAGGTGAACCAACACTGTACACCCTGCCCACTGCCCTAATCCGTGCAGTGCGTCTCTCCGGGAATGCTGAGCTGTCAGTGCCCATGCAGCCAGTAAGTACAGCAGGAACCAGGGGTTGTACAAGGTGTACAGGTGCAAAGGTGAACTAACGCTTTAAAAATAAAAATTTTAGGAGGCATTAGTGAATACAGAGTTGCATTGATTGCTGTCTTTTATGTTCAGCTTTAATTGTAACGTGGCAATTAAAGCAGGACTCCAGTTAGAATTTTTTGTTTACCATGCAGTGAGGCTGTGCCTGCTCGTTTTTTCTAGGGGTGCAGATTAAGTTCATACTCACCTGAACCACTGATCCCACAGAAAAATGCGATCCCCCATGGTCCAGCAGTGGACTGTTCCTGTCTGTGGAATGTGCATTGAGCATGCTGATGTCAGTAACAGTCCATTTACAAGACCGCTGGACTGCAAAGGGGGGCAGGAGCCAAAAGGACCAGTCTTGTGCAGGGAGGATCGGCGGGACAGGTGAGTATATCATCGGTGTCCTCTCCCCTAGAACAAAATGAGCATATGACCCGTGCAGTGCCAGCACAGCCACACTGCATGGGCCAAAACATTTTTTTACCAGATTTCGGTTTTAACTCTTGTTTGGTCAGGGGATGAAAGATGTTGCAGAACAGACTTTTGAACAGCACACCTCTATTGCATCCCAAACGTTTGGAGGCTTCTAGGCCTCTGCTAAGTAAATAGGGTTATGTGTAGCACCTCTAGGTGCCAGCTTTTAGGTTCTCCTGTGATTTCTATAACTGATCTGTTTAAACTTAGAATGTTGCCACCGTTGTTTGTTGTCCAATAACATTTTCTTGAGTAACGTCTGCATAGCTGTACCCAGCCGTGAATTTGCTATAGGTTGGACGGGACCTTCCTCATTTCGGGCGGATGTCATATGACATCCTCTGGGAACGAGGCTTGCATGCGGGTACGATGAGTCATTGGCTGTGTCCACGGGATACAGCCAATGACTCATCAGTGTACCAGCCCGCTACTGGTACCATGTGATCGCTCTGACCAATCACAGCAGATTACATGACAATAGTAAACAATGAATGGCTTTGATTCATGCCATTCATTGTTACAATTGTGTTGTTAGCTGTGATTGGTCACAATGATCACATGGTACAGACATGGCCAATCACAGCCCATCCGTCAGTACATCAGGATTGCTCAATTTTCAGATATATATACCATAGTTTGTGGACTAACTTTCCTACAGACTAAATAACAAACACTGATTTGAGTTATTTTCAGCAAAGAAATGTAGCAGAATACATTTTGGCCTAAATATATGAAGAAAGATGTATTTATTTTCAAAATGTTATAACAGAAACGAAGAAAAACGTGTTTGGTTTTTTTTTTTCTAAATTTTCAGTCTTTTTTTGTTTGCTCAACAAAGAATAAAAACCCAGTGGTGATGAAATACCACCAAAAGAAAACTCTATTTGTGTGAAAAAATGATGTGACAGCGCTGAAAGGCAGGAAGGGGATTAAAGTGCCTGGCATTGAAGCAGTTAAAGGGAATGTATAGTGATTTTTCATATATTTCCTTTATCATCGTCTGCACTGAAACAATCCTTTTTTTTTTTTTTCTTGGTAGGATCCCTTCATTCATTAATCTTCATTTACAAATACTAATTTCCTTTCTTTGTTGTGAGAGGAAGGAGAGATATCTCAAATGTAAACTGCTCAGATCAGTCATTCATGGGTACACTGGTCTGCCTGTGCGTTTTTTTAAGTGAATTTTATAAACAGTACTCCAGAAAAAAAATTTTTTCCATGTTTAAAGTGTAACTAAAGGCAAAACTTTATTTTTTTTTGTTTTTGGATAGAGTGGAGAGGGATTAAAACACTTGTCAGTTTGTATTGCTGTCTGTGTCCCAATTAGGGAGATATATCCTCTCTTTTTGTTCTGTTTACAATTATGATTTACAGTGAAAGTAAAAGAAAATAGCAGATTTTGGGTTGTCCCCAGAAAAGTAATAGTGGGTAAATCTTCCAGTTAGGTGACCTCGGTGTCCCCAAGGGATTTCTGTAATTTGCAGGAATTTTCTCTCACTTCCTGTATGGCTATGGGACAGGAAGTGAAGGGAAATCTTAGTAAGGGGACAAGGTGAAAAAAAAATCGGACAGGATTTATAACCCTCCCTTGTCCTATCCAAAATAGAAAAAAAAAAAACGTTTTGCCTATAGTTCTTCTTTAAGTCTTCATTGCTTGGGTGTTATTCCTCAGGTGAAAACTGTGACTGTAGAGAAGAAAGTGAACGAGATTCTAAATCGCCTGGAAAAGACAAAAGATGAACGTTCCCCAGACCTGGCAGCAGAGAAGGAGTCACGAGATCGGGAGGAGAGGAATGAGAAAAAGGCTCAGATCCAGGAGATGAAGAAGAAAGAGAAGGAAGAGGTGAAGAAGAAGAAAGAGATGGAGGAACTAAGGTACATCGCTCCGTGTAACTGCATGCATCTTGAGCTTGACCTTGGGATGCTCTGGTTCACCTTCTATTATGAATCTGCGAGAGGGAGTCTTTAGGGACCATTCACACCTATGCTTTGCAGTTGCCACAATGCACTATGCACGCATTAGAGCAACGGCATTAATTTTTAGTGGCATCCTAATGCATTAAAGAAACCCCCCGTGCTTTGCAGCACTCCGCAACACACAGTAGTGCACTATTTGCATTGTGGTGTGCTGCAGTGGAAGAAGCGGTGCAGGTTCAGTTTTTGTCACCCTGACATCAGTCCGCTTTCTAACCTACCAGATTTTTTTTACCAAGCTTTAAATATTAATATTATGGATTTTTAAAGCAATGACAGTTTGTGCAGCACTTTAAAAGGAGACAGTACAATTACAATACAATTCGAAATCCCTCAATACAATTCACTGAACCTCCAGTGCAGATGGCTGCACACACATTGGCTCTTAGTAAACTAAATAGTAAAAGGCAATGTTCCTTCATTCACGCACCAAGATCTGTACTCAGTCAGGCTCTCTTGTAGAATAAAGAAATCTTCTCGACATGAAAGATATAAAATTAAAAATATTAACGACATGCAAAGAAATCTTCCCAACACAAAAGGTATAAAGTTGAAAATACTAAAAACATGCAAGCTAGCTTTAAAATATACATAGATCTCATTGTAGCTATATATATATATATATATATATATATATATATATATATATATATATATAGTCCCTTTAGAATCTTTTAGTTTTATCAAATGGCCAAAAATGAAACTGTCTAGAAAGAAATGATTCCTTCTTCAGTTTTCAATACTGACGTAATACTTTTTTATTTGCACTAACATACAATTTTGAGGACAAGCTTTTGGGGTATGTCCCCTTCTTCAAGGTCCAGGCAGTACTATTATGGAAATAGTACTGCCTGGAACTTGAAGAAGGGGACATACCCCGAAAGCTTGTCCTCAAAATTGTATGTTAGTACAAATAAAAAAGTATCACGTCAGTACTCAATTGTTTCTGTCGAAAGTGCCTATAATACGGCTACAATCACCTTCTTCAGTTTTGACATTTTTAACCAAAAGATTGTTAGCCTGCCCACCAAGACAAGGTAGACTCTTTTAGGGCAGGATCTACACTAAGCTACACTACGCTAACCTTCTCCATGCTAGTCATGGTTTCTTTAGTGTTGGATACCGGTTTGTAATATTCTGTTCCAATTTTGATGGAGAGGGGCGTCCTGATCGTTGTTTGTCTTCAACACCTTGTCGTGCTTCTTTGAAGGCCTTGTGCCATCAATACACTTGTGCAGATGATAGTGCAACTTCTTCATAAGCTTTCCTCACCATTTCCAAAGTTTCTGATGCAATTTTACCCAATTTCATACAAATATTTTTTTGCGTACCGCTGTTCCAAACTCCCTTGCATTTTTCTCAATACAAGGCACTTGAACAGGGTGTCAAGAAAAAAAAAAAAAAGAATGCCTTGACTTGTACAGGGCTGAAATTCAACTGATCAGTATTGTAAGGTATACCTGGCACCCCACCCCAAGTGACCTTGGCCAGCTTCTTCCTTCACAGAGCCCTTCTCGAGCGTAGGAACTTCATTCTCATTATATCTTGGACACACCTCATATAAGAAGGTGAACTGTTAAAAGAGAAATTTAGGAATAATTTTTTTTTTTTAGGTTTTACTAAACCCAGGACCCTGCATTCACTATATGCCGTCTCCCACAGTGCACACAACATGCAAGTGCAATTATTTTAGCAAATATAAACTGCTAAATACCTTTTCTCATCATCAATTAGCACAGTCTTTATGACTTCTGTCAGTGTCCAGCGGAGCATTGGTTAAAGCTTGTAGAAGGAGTTTTCTTTCTGCTCTAGGAAGATGCAGAATCCCTGACCTCTGTCTGGACAGTGCTGATTAGCCCTGTGCTGATCACATGCACGCTCCCCCACAAAAAAATAAACCTTTCTAGTAATACACACCAAACTGAGCATGTGCAGAGTGTCTTCACACGATATGTCTTAGGAGATAAGAGGGGGGAACTGGAAGAAGAGGAGGATCAGAGAAGTCAGGAGCAAACTACATTTTTACACAATGCAGAGTATTAACCCCTTAGATTCCACAGTGAGTATAACAAGCATGCTTTACTGAATATACAGACTGATTTTACTGTTGTGGATTTAGTACCACTTAAAATTATACTTACCTAGGTGGATGCAGCATGGATCTGATGCTGCATCTGTCCCCCACCAGTTCTGAGTGTGAGAACTGAGCGATCAGACACCGCTGATCGCTCAGTTCTCTCCCTCTGCTCTGAGCAGAGAACCGGGATTGTCAGTTTCCGGCTCTCTGCTTCGCCCCCCAGCACTAACTGGAGTGCTTGGCTCTAGAGGAGCTGCCGGCCCAAAGATCTGGGTGTATACCGACTTTAAAGTCGGGATCTTTCCCCAGCCTGGACCTGCTGAGTGACATCACAGGAAACGGGTCACGGTAGTGCAAAACGAACTGCACTCCTGTGATCCACAGGAGAAGTACAGCCAAATGGGCTTTGGCTGTATTTCTCCTTTAAAGTCCCAACACCTTGTTGTCAAACATGCTTACAGCCATCCTTGAGTTCTAGTCCAGTGACTTTGCCTGGGTTGAGATGATGTTGTCATGCTGCAGGCAGGAGGAAGCACTTCCTTAGTCTATTCTCCCTCAGTGATCAGACTGTAACTGTGTAGCAATGGCCCAGAATATTGACACTATCCAGGAACTGCGTATAAATTATTTTGTGGTGGAGACTGTTGCCTTTAAATACAAACTTGAATATTGAATTAACTTAAAAAGGCTCAGGCTACATTCACTGGTGCGAATGACAGCTGCAGGAGTTTGCGGATTCCTGCGAATGACAGCTGCAGCCACTGAGCCCTGTACATTTCAATGACAGATCAGCGGCGTCTACAGAGGCAGTAATCACCTCAGGTAAGCAAAGGGTACTGGCAGGGAATCTAGAGTTGCACCATCACTACTACGCCCCGTGCTGTATTGTGCTCCACAATACAGGTACAGAGAATAAAGCTTTTCTTTTACCACCCCCTTTTCAATATGCCATAGTGTTACCACTCTGTAAGATAGCTCCAGCATACAGGATAGATAAAGCAAACTTAGTTTTCTGACACACCATTACCTTGATGCCCAGAAACTGGCTGCCACCTAGCAACACAGAATACTGACAGCTCAGTGCAGTAGAGTAGTGTGACTGAAAACAAAGCCTGCTTCTCTCTCCACTTTGCCCCAACCTGTCACAATGTTCCCCTATTGCCACTCTTCAAGACATCTGTGAAGTTCTGGATGGCTGATGGTAGAATTTGTACTGAATGTATTGTCTGTCCAGCAGAGCTCACCTTACCCCCTGCCAGCCTTCAGTGCTCCTATAATATGTGTGTTAGTGAGGGGGGTAGGAGAGCAGAACTGAGCGCACAGTGATCACCTGCTCCATGCCACGCAGGCAGCACAGACTTCACTGGATATGCTCCTTGCTAATTATTAATGACAGAGTCCTTCCCTGCTCGGGAGGCTCAAGGTGTGGGAGGGGGAGACCCTGGCAAGGCATAATAGGCATATACAGAAAGACTTGGAGCAAGGGTAATAATGCAGGCTTAGTTCTCAGCTATATCGCTGCCTAGGCAGCAGCCTGTTATAGGATATTGCACATTCCAGCAGGACAGCTGAGTAGTGCTGTGCCCAAAAACTAAGCTTGCCTTTCATCACCCGTTGTGACCACTGTGCCTCAATCCACTGAAAGGAGTCCTGCAGATTTTAGTCACTGAGACATTGCCCCAGCAGGTGGGCTTATTTCTCACACTTTATGGAGGTCTCTGCTTTCCTATCACTGCACTGTAGGGTACCACAAGCGCTATAGCAGCTCCCAAGCCATCCCACATCTGTGTGTAGCCCAGGAACTCTTGAGAGTTGTATAGGAAGTTACGTAGGCTGCCCTTCCGACCCTACCTCCTGCTGTTGCCCAGACTTGTGATGCCAAGCCCTTTGATGACATGAAATAAAGCTAATATTGTCTAGTGAAGCAGTGTAATTGAGAACTTCATACTCAAGCCTTTGAAGGAAAAATATTGCTTAGACTGGTTTGATTCATTTCTTTCTTATGTTTTTCTATGCTGTCCATCTCTTTTTTGGGGGGGGTTTTTTTTTCTGGTCTTATATAATAGATTTTTGTAAAAGAATGACTAAATAGGCATGTCCCCAGTCTCCAACAACCTCTTTATTTATTACAGTCAGGTATTTATATAGCGCTGGCAATATACAAAGTACTTAACTTGTTATTGTCAGGAACATCAGGCCCTCTTCCTGCATACAATGACATACAGTTCAGACTACTTTGGGAACACTGCGACACAAATACCTAGATGCAGAATTCAACTCCTTTATTATTGATTAGGCCTTAACTAATAAATGATAACACAGCATATTTCAGGCAGTTTCCATAAAACACCAATCAGAATACAGTAAAAAGATCTCAGTAAACTACTACATGGCTAGTCATAACAAAATGCAACAGAATACTAACTTCTGCAATTTCTCAAGGGAAAATGTGTGCATAGATAACAGCATTTAAATGCCAAGGGAACATCTTGAATAAGTTAGTAGGCACAAAGCAAAAGTTAGTTAACTATTAACCCTTTCAATTATACATTCACATTATTCCTTGCCCTCAAGGAACTTGCTAACCTAAATTGCAATTCTAGTCAGAATACAAAAATCTACCATTTATTTAATTGAAAAAGATGATAAACGTCTATATTATACACGTTTTGGATTGCTAAATGTCTGATTAGAAACAACTGTCTAATTCAGACACTGAGCAACCCTCCTCTCCTTCACCGACAACGTTTGCCTTGAGCAGCTAAATTTGGCTGCTCAAAGGCACTTTCGAATTGCCGGTGCCTGTTCCAACAGAGCCACACAG